ATCCAGACCGTCAAATGGCTCTGATACCAAAATGTAATGAAGTGCGGAATTCATGTGAGTTCAAAGAGAATCACAAAATGTAGAATAATTTTACAAACAAAAGCACATAAATTACAATATGAAATAAAACTAAGATACTTACAATACTAGTACTAAGTGAACTAGTAGTGAAAGAGGATAGGAGAAAAACTCTTCATTTGCATTATTATGAGAGATCTCTAAAATACAGGTTTTTGGTAGAGGTGGGAGTGTTTTGCTAGGTGTGTAATGGTTTTTGTGCCTTTGCAAAAGAGTTATTCCTTCCATCCCCAAGGAGACCTTAATATAGATGTAAGGATTTTTGAAGGAATCTTTAGCCATGATGTCTTTTTCTGCTTTATCTCTTNTGTAATGAAGTGTAGAATTCATGTGAGTTCAAAGAGAATCACAAAATGTAGAATAATTTTACAAACAAAAACACATAAATTATAATATGAAATAAAACTAAGATACTTACAATACTAGCACTAAGTGAACTAGTAGTGAAAGAGGATAGGAGAAAAACTCTTCATTTGCATTATTATGAGAGATCTCTAAAATACAGGGTTTTGGTAAAGGTGGGAGTGTTTTGCTAGGTGTGTAATGGTTTTTGTGCCTTTGCAAAAGACTTATTCCTTCCATCCCCAAGGAGACCTTAATATAGGTGTAAGGATTTTTGAAGGAATCTTTAGCCATGATGTCTTTTTCTGCTTTATCTCTTAGTAAAAGACTTTCACCTTAACTTTTGGTGGAAAAGTATGAGTAAAATACTTTTACTTGATTAACTTTTGACAAAAGACTCTTAATGGGTTCTGATGTCTGAAAATTAGGACAGAGTGCTAAATGGGTCCCTGCCTCAGGAGAAAAGAATATGTTTTCGGTGAAAAAGCAGAGCACATGGGTATTGTCAGCTACTTTTCTTGGGGAAAGAGCTGATGTACTGACAGATATCTTAATATTATACGTAATAGACAACTTTTCTTTTTTNGGTTAACTTTTGACAAAAGACTTTTAATGGGTTCTGATGTCTGAAAATTAGGGCAGAGTGCTAAATGGGTCCCTGCCTCAGGAGAAAAGAATCTGTTTTCGGTGAAAAAGCAGAGCACATGGGTATTGTCAGCTACTTTTCTTGGGAAAAGGGCTGATGTACTGACAGATATCTTAATATTATACGTAATAGACAACTTTTCTTTTTTTTTAGGTGAAGAAAGTAGTGAGTGAAGCTATCACGCATAAGGAGAAGCTAGGTCAGGAGTGAGATCATCAATTCCATCAAATGGATCTTGGCTATCTAGACCCAAATCTACAAATGGGTTAATAGACCCTGCAGNTAGGTGAAGAAAGTAGTGAGTGAAGTTATCACGCATAAGGAGAAGAATCAAGGAGAAGCTAGGTCAGGAGTGAGATCATCAATTCCATCAAATGGATCTTGGCTATCTAGACCCAAATCTACAAATGGGTTAATAGACCCTGCAGATGATGTCGAGGAGGATGAATCACTACAACTTGCATATATATAATAAAATATTTTACAATTTAAATTTCAAAAGATAAACAACATGACTTTTGTTTTTCGCAATTCAAATCGCTTTAAATTTTACTTTAAAATTAATCTAACGGCTAATATTAACACCCTAAATTTAATATAAAAAAAAAGGTCTTAATGGTGTGTTTAGAGTGACATTTTAAAAGTACTTCTAAAAATTATTTTTTATAAGTACTTAAAAAAAAATTAGTGTTTGAAATCGCTCCACTACTACCTCTATCACCACTGTCGCCGCCGCCGCCACCACCACCATCATCGGCACCGCTGCTGCCACCATCACCACCACTGCCGCCACCATTGTCGTCGCCACCACCACCACCGCAACTGCCACCACTACCACTACCACCACCACCACTGCGGTCATTACCACCCACCACCACTGTCACCCTTACTATAACCGATGCCACCCTTACTACAATCGATACTTAAATTTATTTATCTCTCCTTTATGTTTATGAACAGTAAAATGATTTTGAATATGAATACAAATATATTTATTATTTACTATTTGTTATTGTTTTGTGCCTTCAGTAACAGACAATAACTATTATATATAATAAAGTAACTTATAACTCAAATCTAAAAAAATAAATAAAATGACTTTTGCTATTCGGGGTTGAGATCACTTTAAATTTTATATTATAGTTAATCTAACGGCTAATATTAATACCCTAAATTTAATAAAAAAAATAAGTCCATAAGGGTGTGTTTGGAGCATAGTTGTCATAACCGAATCGGACATCGTACCGGCAGAGGGACCAGGTCAATGGTTTAGTGGTTCAACCATTGAGTTAATTGGTTGGACCAGTCGAATAAAAAAAATATAATAATTTAGCTAAAAAAATAAAAAACATGTACGTAATACATATAATTTACCATAAATTAATTAAGTATAAAAAAAATACCTGTGTTAAAAATGAAAAATATTGTGCTCAAGAATCCAACTTTCTCAAAGCATCAACCACAGAAAAAGACATGGTTCAGGTGGTTGGTTTATATAACCAGCTGCCATCTCCGAGGGTCAATTGGTGGAGTCATGTTGAGGCCTCAGACCAAGTAACAAACAACGGCTGTTGAACAACCTATTATGATACAGGAAAGGAGAGAGAGAGAGAGAGAGNGTCATGTTGAGGCCTCAGACCAAGTAACAAACAACGGCTGTTGAACAACCTATTATGATACAGGAAAGGAGAGAGAGAGAGAGAGAGAGAAGACCTCCACTCAGTTGAAGCTCGAAGGAGGAACGAAAAAGCTTGAAGGAGCAAGAAGCTTGAAGCATCGAAGCTGTAAAGCCTAAAGGACCACTAACCAAAGTTATGACCTGTGAAGCTTGAGCAAAGAGAGATCGAGTGGAGAAGGAGTTACTCGATCAGACCTGAGTAGAGAAGACGATGGAATGAAGCTTGAAGCTTGGTCTGTGAAGTTGTGACCTGTGAAGCTTGGTCTACTCTGAATCTGGTCTGGTCCACCAACACCTGAGTGGAGAAAACGATGAAGATGACTGGAATTGGGCTAAAATTAAGGATTTGTGGGTTTTTATGAAAAAGGTAGTAGAACTGCCCGGTTTGACTAAACCGTCTGGTTCACAGTATTTGTCAAAAATCAGCCGGTTTTACGGTTTTATTCTGGTTTAACTCTTTAAGCAGTTCAATTTAAGAACCGGACCAGCTGAGGTCCCAGATCACGGCCTAGCTGGTCGAACCAAAATTTGGAGTGACTTTTTAAAAGTACTTTTAAACATTATTTCTCATATATACTTTAAAACAAATAATGTTTAAAACCACCTCACTACTACCTCTACCACCACCATCACCGTCGTCGCCGCCGCCACCACTACCGTCGTTACCCCCATTGCTCCTGATACTCCCATCCCCACCGCCGTCGTCGCTGTTGTCACCACCACCATAACCACCGCTACCGCCGCTGTCACTGCCACCACCACCACCATCATCACCGTCACTGCCACCACTTCCACCACAACCACCACCATCGTCTCCCCCACCGTCGCCGCCTCCACCACCACCATCGTTGCTGTCGCCACTACGACCACCCCCACCACCGCCGTCATCGCCACCACCACCACCCCCATCACCATCACCGTCGCCACCACCATCGTCGCCGTCACCACCACCACCACCCGTCGCCACCACCCTCGTCGTCGCCATCACCACCACTATCGCTGCCACCACCACCGTCGTCACTGCCACCACCGCCGTCGTCGTCGTCACCACCACCATCATCATTGCCACCCCCTACCACCACCACTACTGCCATCACCACCATCGTCGTCGTCGCCATCACCACCACCATCGCCTTTGCCCTCGCTGCCACCACAGTTATTGCCACCCACCATAACCATCACCATCTCCTATCATAACCACTACCGCCCACCACGTCTCACCCCCACTACAAACTGATACTTAAGTTCATTTATCTCTTTTCTATGTTTGTGATTTAATTTTGGATATGAATACAAATATATTTATTGTTTACCATTTTTTATTACTTTGTGGCTTTAGGCACGTGTAATAACTAGTATATATATACTAGAAAAGAATTTTTGGGTTTATAACTCATAGCTAACAATAAAGAGAAAATAATAGATAAAAACAATATTATTTCCCTTTGTACACTAACCTTATCCATCGTAAGGAATCGTTAAATGTTTTTGTAGTTTAAAAAATAGTCTTAGAGCTTCTTTTTTTTAACTCAGTATTTTTTTGTACATAAAATACAAGACAATTTCAAGGAAATCCTTATTGTGACCTTGTCATGTATTGTTCTCTTATGGCCGTGTATTTGAGCTATCTGAAAAGAAATAGAATTTGGTCCAGATTGGAATTGAAGGTAACCAAAGCCTGGACTATTATTGTAAATTGATTGACCCAATGCAATTAAATTGTTGGGCAAAATCCAGTTTACTCCCTCGTAGTTTGTGCCTTGAGCTGATGACCTCCATATCATTTGGAAATATGCACATCACCCCCCTGTGGTTATGGACTAAACTGCAACTCTCACTCCGTTAAATGGTGATCGTAAAAGTGCTATAATACCCTTAAATATATATGTGATCTACCCAAGAGCCTCAGTAATAAATGTCGTCTACCCGGGAACAGATAAAGTCTCTCTCTTCTCTCTCTCTACCAACTCTTGAACCCACGAAATTTTAGGACTTTGATTTCCTTATGAATCGAAATTAGGGCTTTGATTTCTTGATGTTTTAAAGTTAGGGCTTCAAATCAAAACTCATGCATGCTATTAGATAGGGAAAAGATACACACGGAGAATGCCACCCATATGTTAGTGTTAAAACAAAATACACATATTAGAAAAGTTTTAGTTGAAGTTTTGCAGTTATGATGGTATGAAATGGAAGTCTGAACTCCCAAGCAAAAAAAATCCCATTCCAAACAACCATGAACATAGGTCCATAAATTCAAAAGGAAAATGAACAAAGACATGAGCCATGTCCAAATAGAGAGAATGCATTGGAGAACTTGCCTTGTAACTGTCCTCTTCTCCCCGTAGCTCTCAAATCATTTACCAATATAACAATTTTTGAAACTACTGATTCATCAAATAGTTCTTCGTACAGTTTCAATCCATCAACTACATTAACCTATAAAGAAAGCTGAGGCAGATTAGAGGTAGAAATTTGAAAACAAAAGCCTAAAATTAGTAGCTTGTTTCAACTTAATTTTCAAGACAAATGCCCCCCAACAGAAAAATAATATTACTGTTTTTCCATCAAATATCTCGGTGCCAACAAAAGTTTTTGGAATAACTNCCGTTTTTCCATCAAATATCTTGGTGCCAACAAAAGTTTTTGGAATAACTGTCAGATTCTTCTTCTGATGCGGACTTTGTATGGACTGGGAATCATTCTGCTGATGCATATTATTACAAGAACCTTAGAAAGAGAGGAATAAAAGAATTAGCAATTTCATATTAAGTGCAAATACAATTCCAAACAGCAGCGAAGAGAGAGATATAAGATGGACAAATGCTTTTACAACTTCCCTGTGAACAAAATACATGAATTTTAAAAGCTATACTGCTCAGAACTATTGTTACAACCATGAGTCAAGGCAAAACATAAACAACCACCAAATGTTGCATAGTATTAGTTAAAAAGGGATTTAACAAGCATTCTAAAAGGTACAACCACCTGTTTTGTTACAAAAACATAGAAAAAGAATAGCTCACATCCAACGAGATCGAAAAAGAGACAGAAAATATAAGAACAAAAACAAGAACACAGAGCAAAGAACTACCTCTTGAGTTTGAGGTGCATGCATCATCTACATGCTCTGCCTCACATTCTGAATCACCAGCAATCATTACTTCTGAGTTTCCCGAACTCTTGACATAGCTCTTTAATTGAGGTTTTGCAAGCACATCTGCTACAACATCAAATACTAATAGTTTCTCAAATACAAGGAAAAATGCAAAATTGAAAAAGAGCTAGAATCTAATTTTAATAGGGGGCAAAACATGAATAAATTATTTACCAACTAATATGTAAATTTCTAAATATAAGCAAGAGAAATATATTACGATTTATAAATAAATTACTAGATAAAAATGAAATTGATGTCAAGCATATATTAACACAACATCATGCTTTTTACTTTTCAAAACAGTCTATAATTGATTTTATGACAAATTGTTTAGCAATTTCCTTTTAATTTGTGCAATCAAAAAAATAAAAACTCATGCATGCTATCAGCCC